TCTTGTCTATCCTGAGGAGTCCTTAATAGGACTCCTGTGGGACCAGTAAACTGGGGGCCTGTGTCTTTTATCTTTTCTGCTATATATTTTTTTTTAGGTTGAAATAGAGGTCTGGAAACCAAGTCTTTATAGGAGCATTCTCGGAGGTCTTATTTAAGACCTCTTGATTATTAAAATTAATTATCTGTCAGGTCAGGCTAAATGGCCGGTGGGGGTTAGCGTCAAAAACTACACTAGAGACGGCGCAGGGAAGAAGGGCAAACAATAAGCAAGGAGTTAGATACGAGAGAGTCTTATCTTGAGCGGGTCCGCGGAGCGTCGGAGTTTCCATGTCTCAAGTGGTGTTGGTCCGGACGTCTCTGGAGCAGCCTTGGCGTGGGATGCGTGGATCTAAGTGGAGATTCCGTCAACCTTTATGGCTGTGGGTGTGGTCAGGAGAACAATGTAGGGTCTTTTCCACCGAGGCTCTAGTCCTTGAGTGCGATGCCGTCTAACGTAGACAGAGTCTCCCACCTGGAAGGGGTGACTGGTCTGTGGATGTCCTGGTTGGTACAGTTCTGCCAAGGGGGCCCAGATTTGGGCCTGTACTGCTTGGAGTCCTTTTAGCCGGGCCTGTAGGTCAGTCTTAGGATCGGAGGGGGAGAAGGAATTAAGCAAGGTTGACAAAGGGGGAGGTCCTCCGTAGAGGATTTTATATGGAGTGAGCCTAAAACGGTTAGGTGTATTCCGGGCCCTTAACAGAGCTAAGGATAGGAGGCGTCTCCAATCTTTTAAGCCAGTCTCTAAGGTCAATTTAGTAAGGGTCTTTTTTATTGTTCTATTTATTTTTTTACCTGTCCTGAGCTCTGGGGTCTATAGGCACAATATAATTTCCAATTAATCCCCAATATTCTGGCGAGCCCCTGACTTACCTGAGAAACGAAGGCCGGCCCGTTATCTGACCTAATTACCTTGGGAAGTCCGAATCTAGGAAAGATTTCTTCCAAACTTTTCTTGGCTACTATGTGTGCCGTTTCTTGCCGGGTGGGGTAGGCTTCTACCTATCCTGAAAAGGTATCTACAAACACCAGTAAGTACTTATATCCAGCATAGTGAGGTTTTACTTCAGTGAAGTCTATTTCCCAATAGACTCCTGGGCAGTTATCACGAGTTCGTTTCCTTTCTGGCACTCGGGTAGCCCCAGCGTTTACCTGCTGACAGACCTTACAGGCAGATGTCACTTGTTCTACGAGGGTACTTGTCTTTGGGATTAGAAAGTCAGTTTTTTTAATCAGTAATTTTAGCTTTCAATTACTTAAGTGTGTCCAGGCATGCATCTGCTGGATCATTGCCAGGGCCTCCTTGGTCAGCATTGGGGGTTTGTCAGTGCTGCCAGCAGTTATGCCCCCGGGATTTTTCTCTTGGCCCAGCCGTGGGGGCTGAGCCTCTTCAGGGACCCCTTCTGGGGGTCCGGCAGGTAACACAGGGCGGCTGGGCTGGGGGCTGCCCTCAGGACTGGGCTCTGTGCCTTTTTGCAGGGAACTTTCCGAATGGAAACTCTGGTTGCTGTTCTCATCATTGAGATCCAGCAGGATGAGAGGGCCACCCCCTCGGGGACTGGCGCCCCTGCCCCGACGTTCCCGGCCACGGGATCTCTTTGCCCCGCCACCTGCCCGCCTTCGCTCCTCCTCCTGGGGGTTCACCACTGGCACTCACTTGAAGATACGAAGGGAAGTGTCGCCTACAGTCACTCATTGCTTCTTCCATTTCTGGACCTTCTCGATGGTCGCCATTACCTTCTTGATGTTATCTTCGGCCCGGCTCCGGGTCTCGGCCCCTACGGTCCGGCCGGCCATGCTGGCGGGGCTGGGGCCGGAGCCAAGCCCGCGGCGGGGCCGCCTCCCGTCTGGCGGGCTCAGGCTTGGCGCCAGGCCCGGGCGCCGCGCTCTCGGCCTGCCGTCCCCCCGGGAGTTGGCCGCGCCCTCTTTTGTCCTTAACGCCTCCGCGAGTCCCCTGTTCTTTGCAGTAGGCACACTGGTCTTTTTCCACTTTTGGCCGCCTCCGCTTCTTTCCCTCTCTCCCTGGTCCTTTCTTTCTCACAACTGCCGCCAGGATTTTTGTTAAATGCTTATCCTTTACTCGGTTCTTACGATCCTCTCCCTCTATCTGTTCCTTCGCTAACCTGGCTTCCCTTTCCTTAGGGGTTTCTTTCTTATCTTGGCCAAATTTGTGGGGCGTTTTCCTGCCCCTTTGAGACCTGCCAACAGAGCCTGGCGATAGATTCGGAGACTCTCCTTACCTGGTGCCGTTTCATAGTCCTAGTCCGGGCGGGTGAGGGGAAATCCCTCGTCTATTTTATTGGGAAGTTGGGTTGGGAGGCCTCCTGGTCCTGGCACATTTTTCCGGGCCTCCAAGAGGACTTGCTGCCTTTTTCAGTGGTTAAGAGGACCTGCAGGAGTTGCTGGCAATTATCCTAGGTGGGCTGGTGGGTGAGGAGAATGGATTTTATTAACGAGGTTAGGGCCTGAGAGTCTTGGGAAAAGGAAGGGTTATGGGTCTTCCAGTTATAGAGGTCAGAGGCAGAGAAGGGCCAGTACTGGACTGTGTGACTGACAGTACGGAGGGGAAAAAGGGAGGATTGCTAAGTGGAAGGGCCTTCTGGGTCCTCAGTCCGCCGCAAGCGGAGACGAGGAGGTGTCGGCGGCGTCCGAGGGGTGAGTTTGGGCGGGGCTGGAGGAGGAGACGGGGTGGAGGGAGGGGCCGAGGGAGAAGTTGGAGAAAGGGTAGGGGTCGAGGCGGTAGAGGAAAGAGCTGGGGACAAGACAGGGGGCAAGGGTGAAGCGTAAGGTGGAGGTCCCCGAAGGGGGTTTTGAGGTGGAGGAGGCAGGGGGTCGAGAAGGAGGAGGTCCCTCTGGGGTTCATCTGGGAGGACTGGCTTATGCGGGTCCGGATTCCGATTCTTTGGGGCTTCTAAGGCAAGGAGGGTAGATTGGGATGGGGAAGGGGAATGGAGGAAGGGTTTCACCCAAGAGGGAGGATTTCGGACCAGATCCTCCCAAATAATTATGTAGGCCACCTGGTCCGGGTGTCCGAGTGGCCCAGGATCCATCACTTTTGCTTTAACCTGTAAGATAATTGGGAGGTCAAATGTTCCGTCCCGGGGCCACCCAACATGGAGGGTAGGCCACTTGGACGAGCAGAATTTTCGCCATCGTCCCTTACGGACTTCTATGGAGAGGTTGTGGGCTCGAACCCGAACGTCAGGGAAGTGAGTCAGGGTCAGAGACAAAGGAGTCGTCAACGTCTGTCTTATTTCGTCCATGTATAACAAGGACAAAACAAAAGTAACAAAAACAAAGACCAGACAAGTAAGGAGAAGCCGCGCGGCCAGAGAGTTGCGCCACAAGATTACAAAATATTCAGACGGCAGGGGCGACCTGCCTACAGATTTGAGGAGGCTGACCGAGTCATCAGCCTTCTCCCAGACTACCGCCAGGGCGTCCCCCAGGGCGTGAGTGGGAAGGTGCCGGACACGTCTGTCCCCCTTCCCCACTTAATTCAGAAGGAGTACTCCCCAGAGTTCAGAGTTAGCCGGCAAGACAGACAGAACAAAACGAAAGTACCTGGTAGGTCCGTTCAGTCAGCAGTCCGTGGCCCGGGCCAGATGGGTCTCCGCCGGATGGGTCGGGGGTCCTCGGACGACCCCACTTCCCGGCCAACGCACCAAATGTTGGAACCGAACTGTCGATTCCCTCCTGGGCAGGGGTCGCCGCGAAGGATCACCGACACGAGATTCACAGCAGAGAGTTATTTATTACTAGCGCGCTAGGGTCCCAAGCTCTAAGTTGGCCCTGGGACCCCGAGTGCTTGTTACAGGTTGTTTATATAGGCAAACACAAGTTCAAACACAGCTTAGGGCGCGAAATTCAAACAAAGCTTTAGGCGCGTGGTAATTGGGTCTGTCTGTGGCCTGAGCAAGGTGTCTTATGCTAATTGGTTAGAGCAGGACCTTATGAGGTTTTTTTTTTCCTGGAGTTGTTGATTCCGGGAACTTCGAGGCAGGGTGGGACCCCCGGAATTGGCAGGGTGGGACCCCATGAGGTTGTTTCCCGGAATTGGCAGGGTGGGACCCTATCAGGGTGGGACCCTATTGAGGCAGGGTGGGACCCTATCCAGAGCCACCTGGTGTTAATTTTTTCTATATGAGGCCTAGTTTCTAAGTTTTATGAGGCCTAGTTTCATTATCAGGTTCTCAGAAAGGATTGAGGGCCTATAAAAGTTTAGCCAGTAAAACTACATGGTGTTTTGAGGGCTTTTTTGGTTGATTTTAGAGACAGGGTCTTGGTCTGTCACCCAGGTTGGACGAAGTGGTGCAATCATTGCTCACTGCAGCCTTGAACTCCTGGGCTCAGGCAGTTCTCCTTCCTCAACCTCCTGAATAGCTGAAACCACAGACCCGAGCCACCACACTCAGCTAATTTTAAAAATTAGTTTCAGAGTCAGGGTCTTGCTCTGTCCCCTGGGCTGGAATATAGTGGTGCCATCATAGCTCACTACAATCTTGAACTCCTGGGTTCAAACCGTCCTCCTGCCTCAGCCTCTTGAGTAGCTGGGATTACAGGCACATGCCACCCAATTTTAATTATTTTTTGTAGAGATGGGGGTCTTGCTATGTTGCTAAGCCTGATCTCAAACTCCTGGCCTCAAGCAATCCTCTAGCCTCTGCCTCCCCAAGCACTGGGATTACAGCCATAAGCCACCGCACCTGGCTCCTACATGGTATTTTTAACAAATGCGGATCCAGGGACAGATAAGTTGAGTCTCACTGCCAGGGTCTGACCCTGGTGCACACTGTTTGGCCCCTGGTCCATCCTGCTCATTAACAGGACCTTCAGAGCCCAATGGTAAGCCTGAGAGTGAACACAGTCTCATATTCCAAATGACTTCAGAGATACTGTCAAACATTCTGAATATAAAACCCTTATTGTAAAAGGAAATTAAATGTGAAGAGTAGAACTTACCCTTTCGTTTTGTTAGAGAAAGACTCAATGCCATATTGCAGATTTTTGCATTTCTCCGTCAGTTGGAGCGACTTCTCATTCAGATATGTGCTGTTTCATGAAAGAGATTTTTAAAAAGATTGATTTAAAATGAGAGCTTATAAGATATTGTTAACAAAAATCAGATTTACTTGATAAAGTGTGTCCAAATGAAGTCTGATTTTTACTCCTTTATTGGATTTCTCCATGGAAAAGGAAATTAATATTTTCACCTCTGATGGGTCTAAATGAAAAAAAGAAAAAAAAAAAAAAAAACTTATGCTCTAAAGTCAAACATAAAAGAACTCCATTTTGAGGACTTTTTTTTTTTTTTGAGATGGAGTTTTGCTCTTGTTGCCCAGGCTGGCGTGCAATGGCACGATCTCAGCTTACCGCAACCTCCGCCTCCCTGGTTCAAGCGATTCTCCTGCGTCAGCCTCCCCAGTAGCTGGGATTACAGGCACCTGCCACCGTGCCCCACTAATGTTGTATTTTTAGTAGAGATGCAGTTTCTCCCTATTGGTCAGATTGGTCTCGAACTCTCGACCTTAGGTGATCCACCGGCATTGGCCTCCCAAAGTGTTGCGATTACAGGCATGAGCCATCGTGCCCCCTCCTTTGAGGACTTTATACTGGCAGGTTTTCATATTCTGAGGTTAGTATTTACAATGAACAAGTTATTTAATAGTTTTAATCACTGCATTTATTTTGCTTTATTTTTATTTATTTATTTTTGGGAGGGAATCTCACTCTGTCCCCTAGGCTGGAGTGCAGTGGTGCATCTCAGCTCACTGCGAGCTCCACCTCCCAGTTCACGCCATTCTCCTGCCTCAGCTTCCCGAGTAACTGGGACTACAGGCGCCCGCCACCACATCCGGCTAATTTTTTGTATTTTTTTTAGTAGAAACGGGGTTTCACCATGTTAGCCAGGATGGTCTTGATATCCTGACCTCGTGATCCACCTGTCTCGGCCTCCCAAAGTGCTGGGATTACAGGTGTGAGTCACCATGCCCAGCCGCGTTTATTTATTTTTATTTTTTTTGTTTTTTTTGAGACGGAGTCTCGCTCTGTCGCCAGGGCTGGAGCGCAGTGGCGCGATCTCGGCTCACTGCAAGCTCCGCCTCCCGGGTTCACGCCATTCTCCTGCCTCAGCCTCCAGAGTAGCTGGGACTACAGGCGCCCGCCACCTCGCCCGGCTAGTTTTTTGTATTTTTTTTAGTAGAGACGGGGTTTCACCGTGTTCGCCAGGATGGTCTCCATCTCCTGACCTCGTGATCCGCCCGTCTCGGCCTCCCAAAGTGCTGGGATTACAGGCTTGAGCCACCGCGCCCGGCCCGCGTTTATTTTTAAAAGATGTTTTCTTTGGTAGAAAACATGCAGACATAGGAGATCATTAACTCTCTCCACAATGAACACAAATCTGGCCTTTCATTATTCTGATAGCTGCAATATACTGGCCTGGTGCTATTTGTTTTATAAACTTTGAAAACTGGAGGTGGAAAAAAAAAAATCCAGTCAGGTTAAGGACATGGGTTACAAAGTTAGCCTGCCTAATGAGCCTCATGGACATAGGCATGTTATTTAACCCACTCCAGGCACAGACTTCCATATTTCTAAATCAAGGATAACTGTGCTTACCTCATAGTGTTATTGCCATGATATATATATATGCTAAGAAAACAATGTAAACCACTTGTAACATGCATCACATATAGTAAGTGCTCAACAAAAATCAACTATCTCTTTCCTTAGACTTAAAAAATACATATGCGGCCAGGTGCAGTGGCTTACGCCTGTAATCCCAGCACTTTGGGAGGCCAAGGCGGGCAGATCATGAGGTCAGGAGATCGAGACCATCCTGGCGAACACGGCGAAACCCTGTCTCTACTAAAAATAAAAAAAAAATTAGCCGGGCATGGTGGTGGGCCCCTGTAATCCCAGCTACTCGGGAGGCTGGGGCAGGAGAATGGTGTGAAGCCAGGAGGTGGAGCTTGCAGTGAGCCGAGTTTGTGCCACCGCATTCCAGCCTGGGCAACAGAGTGAGACTCCGTCTCAAAAAAAAAAAAAAAAAAAAAAAAAAAAAAAAAATATATATATATATATATATATATATATATATATATATGCGCAACCCTAACTTGCTGTTAATGCATTTATTTCATCATCCTCAAGGTATTCGTTGATAGCCTAATATGGGTTGGGCCCACACACAGGTTATTTAGGACAGAGAGGAAGAGAAAATAGACATGGTCTCATTCCCTAATGGAGCTTACAGTCTGATTAAGGAAAAAGATATCAATCAACAAATAACCACACAAATGAATATGGAATTATGAACTGTGATTGGTTATGGTTGAACCAGAGTAGGTGGCTCAGAAGAGTAGGTCTCTACTCACACTGAGGGGTCAGAGGAGGGCTCCAAGGGATTGTCATTTAGGTGGAGACACCCAAGGATGATCCAAACCAAGTGGGTAGTGCATTCAAGGCAGAGGAAACCATGTGTGCAGGCCAGGCACAGTGGCTCACACCTCTAGTCCCAGCACTTTGGGGAGCTGAGGCAGGTGAATCACTTGAGCCCAGGAGTCCAAGGCTGCAATGAGCCATGATTGGGCCAGTGCATTGCAGCCTGGGTGACAGAGTAAGACCCTGTCTCAAAAAAATAAATGTGCAGTGGTTCCAAAATGGGGAGCAGTCTGGATTATCTGAGGAACTGAAAAGATAATGGGATTCAAGGCTGAAGAGCCATGGGGTGATTGCAGAGAAATGAGGAGAAATGGGGCAAGAGAGGAAATGAAAAAGTTAGGAGGTTTCTGCAGGACTCCACGAGGGAGAGATGATGGCAACTCCTTTTACTTGTCAGGATAGAATAGACTATGATGTGGTAACAAACAACGTCAAGCTCTCAGTTGCTTACAAAACAAAGGTTTGTTTCTTGCCCATGAAATGCCCAGTGTATGTCTGGAGGCCCGTCTAGGGCAGCTGTGCTTCATGTGGTTTAGGACTTGTGATGGTTCATTTTCTGTGTCAACTTCACTGGGCAAAGGGGTGCCCAGATAACTGGTAAAACATGATTTCTGGGTGTGGCTGTGAAGGTATTTCTGGAACAGATGAGCATTTGAATCAGTAGATGGAGTAAAGGCTGCCCTCACCAACGTGGGTGGCAGCATCCAATCTGCTGAGCACTTGGATAGAACAAAAAAGTAGGGGAAGGGTGAGTTCACTCTCAAGCTGGGACGTCATTTTCTCTTGCCCTTGGACATCGGTGCTCCTGGTTCTAGGGCCTTCATATTCAGACTGGGACTTAAACTGTTGGCCCCCTGGTTTCTATCAAAGTCTCCTCAGCCTTTGGGCTTAGACTGAACTACACCACTGGCTTTCCTGGGGCTCCAGCTTGGAGAAGGCAGGTCCTGGGACTTCTCAGCCTCCCCTAATTATGGGAGTTAATCCCTCGTAATACATCTTTTGCTATCTCTCTATTGCGTCTGTTTTTCTGGAGAACTCTGACTAATACAGTGATCCAAATTGCTTCAGTCTTATGGCACCTTCATTTCAATAACCTGCTTCCATAATTGATATGGCAGGAGAAGAACATGCTGGAAGGTCTTGCCCTGTATCCAAATGTTTGAGCCAGAATTACAATGCATCATTAGCCAGAGCTGGTTACATGCCCCACCTGATTGCAACCTGGGAGTCAGAAATGAGCCACCCTCCTGTGTCCCCAGGGAGGAGATCTGACACAGGTGTGACTGGAGACTTCACCACACTTGTGTCCATCAGGGGGAAGAGAAGTGGACAGATTTGAGATCCATTCTAGAGGCAAGACTGACAGGACTTCATAGAAGATTGGATGTGGGAAGTGAGGGATAGGAAGGCATAAAGAAATAAACAAGACAGATTTGTAATTAATTCTCCAATATTTCTCAGAAATGCTTTCTAAAAACACTGCCTGCAGAGTACACATGGGCTCACAAAAGTCCCTTTTAATCCTGATAGGATTTATCTCCCCCGCCACCTCCTTCTCACCTCCCTCTAGTTCAGTCTCCACGCATCACCCTCTGTGTTTTCTGAATGTATTATCATACTGTCCAAGGATTTGTTTATTTCCCATTTGCCATGTATTTTATGCAGGCAGGACCGTTCATGAAGTGGATTACCAAGCCAGCAATGCTTCGAATTATGATGGCATTGCAGTACTGAATTGTGAAACTGTGACTGGTAGGCACCAATAGGATTGTGTCTCCTATGCCTCTTCTTAAATCAGATAGATTATCTTTTTAAATAAAAACTCAGAACGGGTTTAGTTGGGCAAACTAAAATCACAGAAGATACATGGAAACAAATGAGAGGATCTGGGGTAGAAGTGGAGGTGACAGAATGAAGTCCTGGGAACCAAACGGGGTCTTTGGAGTCAGCAAGGCCAGTCTCTGAATCTGGACTCCACTCTGTGACTTGGGCTTTCGAACTTTGGGGTTGCCTTTAAAAACAAACAAAAAAAAGGCCTAACCCAATAAAGGAATTTTAGGAATTTAATGGGGATGTATATAAAAACACCTGACAAGTAGAAGTCAGTAAATAATTGTGTTCTTATTCTCTCAAAGTCATTATCGCATTATTTTCTCAAATCAGTCATTGTTATTGCCATAGAGGTAGGGAGCATCTCACACTGGTAAGAAGTCACCCAGTAATGAAAAGTACAGACAGGGAAGCCCTTTTAGTTATCTTTGCCTCTATACCTTCCCTGTCCCCTCCTTTTCATTTCAAGAGTCTTCAGAGTTTTCTTCCTTTTTTCATCTAATGTCGTTCAAACTTGCTCCAAAAAGAGACCTTCTCAATTCTGGGATGAGAGAGGACACTAGCTGTGAGCAGATCCCATCTAAGAGGTTGGTGCACACCACAAGCGAAGACATTGGGTTGAATCCTTTTTAAAAACTGATTTGGGGACATCTCTCAGACAAGTCATAGGGGATTGAGAGAAATTGATCAAGGTGAAAGTAGAAATTGCAAAGACTCTGAACCAGAAACAACATGGTGGCACAAGAGATGGCTGCAAGACAAGCGTGGGTTGATGCGTA